ATGCTGTACTCATGTACAAATTGGGGATGGGTTTACCAGTGGATTTTGGCAAACTGTTCTTTGATACTATTGGTCATCTTGCCCAGAAAATTTCACCATCCACTCACCTCCCCTATCCTTCTCTCATCTATTCCATCTTACTCTCTCAAAACTTGGGCCAAGATGACTCAGAATATCTTCACACCCCACAAGGCATGATCACTGTGTCTCAAAACTTTCTGAGGGCTCCTCATGTTCAAGATCTTCCTTGGAATGGAGATAATTTTCTTTCAAGTGAATCAGGTCAAAATAACCTTGGTACTGAGGGTGTTGCACCTCATGTTGACAACACTTCTAACCTTCTTGTGTCTGTTCCTAGAGATCTTCTATTGCAGCAGCTTACTCATTCTCTAGCTCAGATTACCTATCATCAGTCCATGGTGGAGATGATTCAGAAGGCCCTTTCTGATCAAAAAGGGGGAGAAAAAGATCATGAAACTGAAGCAGGAACATCTCATCCCTTGGATGCTAGAGGCAGAGAGAGAGGAGTAAATGAAGAGGAAGCAAAGGGGGAAGCTCAAGAAGAAAGCAGTGGATCTAGTGATGGAGGTGAAGTAGCAGCTGAAACTGAGGAGACTTTGGATATCTTACTTTAGATTGTTTTCATGAACAATATTTTATTTTGTTTGTGTTTTGTTTATTTTCCCTCTGAACTTTTGTTTAGGACTGCACTTTGATTATTTCTTTTGTTGGACTATCTTGCTGAATTTGGTTTTAATTTATTGTTTCTATGTTTTTTCCAATGGTATCAAATTCAGGGGGAGTTCAAGCAATATCTCAGGGGGAGTCTTTGACTAAGATTTAGTTTTGATCAGAAAGTTAAAAAGGGGGAGTTTGAAACACGTGAATTAAATTCACAAATATGTTTTTAACTTTTCTTAATTTCTAAACTAAATCTTAGTTAGTGGGCTTAGTAGGGTTAAGTAGTGCTTAGTGGATTTAATTATGGGATTTATTTTAACTTCCTAACTAACCCACTAACCCATTATCTTGAGTGCTCTTGTGGTTGGTTTTCTTGCAGATCATGGGCTGAAGAGTGGAAGCTTGGCAAGTCTATAAATACCAAACTCAAGACTCAAGATTATTACAGATTTCGAGGAAACAAAAATAGAGCTGAAGTTTTAATCTCGAGAATTTTAGTGTGTTTTCTAGGATCTGTTGTACGTACTCTTTATGAGTACATTCTTTGAAATCTAGAATTTTTAATATTTTTCTTTTAGTATCTAGATTTGGTTGTAAGAGTGATCTTGAAAAAGATTCACTCATAAGGAAGAAGTTTTCGCACTCTTCTGTTTGTATTCTTGGAATACTGCTTTTAATATATTTTTCCGTCCTGTAAAGGACAAGTTCACAAGTCTTTACTTGTGAACATTTTTAATTCTGAGTATTGTTCTTTTGTCTTTATATTTCCGCTGCATGTTTGCTCAAGTGTCATAACACTTTCAACAACACCTCTGTATTAAACGAATTCGGGACCATAAATTCTTTCATAAATGAATATTGAAACAAAAAGTAATTGGAAAATAGAAAGTTAAAAAAAATATGCACAACTAAATTTCGACATTAAGGTGTCGAATATAAGTCCATAAATTCGACACCTTAATGCTGAAATTTAGTATATTTGGGCTAATTTGCTCACAGTTAAATTTCGACACTAAGGTTCCGATTTTGTATTCCAAAATCGACATCTCAATGTCGATTTTTACCTATAAAATTCGACATGTACTTGTCGACCGCGTCTACGCGGGATTTTTCTTAAAAAAAAATATGAAACAACTAAATTTCGACATTAAGGTGTCGAATATATGTCCACAAATTCGACTCCTTGATATCGAAATTTAGTATATTTGGACTAATTTGCTAACAGTTAAATTTCGACACTAAGATGTCGATTTTGTACTCCAAAATCGACATCTCAATGTCGATTTTTACCTATAAAATTCGAGATGTACATGTCGACTGCGTCTACACGGAATTTTTTTTGGAAAAACAATATTTTAGCTAAAAAATACGTAAATGCATATCTTCTTGGACTCTTCCATCGTAGAATCTTCTATTTTGATGTCTGACTCCATACTTGCCATCTTTGTAAGATTTGTTGAGTTTTGATGATTTTGAATGTTTGGGTTATATGGGTTTATGGAGGAGGAAGGAGAAAAGTTTTGTGGGTTTTAGAAGATGTAGAAGATGAAAGTTGGTCTTGTGGTTTTGTGATAGGGGTTTTTATGTTTTTGAGTTTTTGGTATTGCACATTTGGAATTTTCTATTTCTTTAACAGGTAAGAGTATTATAGTATTTATACATTGAAAATTTTAATTTGGCCTTGCACAAGTGGAATTAGTCTTGCATATAGCCGCAACCAACTTATTATTAGACGTAAAGAAATGTAACTAAAAATGATATATTGGCAATAATTACTTGATATTGTTTTATTTTTCATTAATTAAAAAAAGCAGAGAAGAATACAGATAAAAAAAAAAGTTATTTTAGGGTAATATCGTCTTTTGCATTATTAGTAGGCATGTACTATTCTAATCGGAGTTTGTGGCGGGCTCATGCTTTTATAGCGGGCTTCCCTTGGTGCTAATCTTATCAACCGAATGTGCTACTATCACCTACTATTTAGTTATTATGGGGTAATAGTAGTAACCAAACGAGCCCTTAAGCTCACACTTGATACTAATTATACTATTAGCTATCCACGTTCTACTATTTGAAGTTTCTTATCAAGGTTCTTTTTCCATTGTGGGATAGTTACTTTTCACTTTCACATTTCACATTTCCCATGAATCATATTTAAGTGTCTATCTTAATGCATTAGTTTCTCATTCATACAAATTTGTATTTGAGAAATTAACTATATTAGATTCATCTACTCAAAACGTATATCATGAATTTATATTCAGTTTGCATTTTTCGATAAACGAAACTCACTTAAATATTTTTATTAAATTGAGTTTACACCCAATTTTCCAACAAGAATTCGTTCCTGAAGTGGTTATCCTTCTCCTTAACCCTGAAGTATCACTAAGGAACATCCTCTTAAAGGAGATCTTCTCTAGGGGATCTTCGCCAGATAGCTATCGAACAAGAACTTGACCGCATCTTGGGCGATCAACAATTACTTTATATCAATTATTAGTTTAGAACAAAATTAATTTGTGCGAAGGGAAAAAAAAATCCACCGGCATAGTTATAATGGTTAAATTAATATAGCTAAATTATTTTTAAACATATAATTGTTATATTATGTATTAAGTTCTAGAAATTGTTACCTTACGATAAACTACTAAATTATTAAGAACACAAGAATTGACATTTTATTTTGGCATTAATTAATATCCTAGAATAATAATAATAGTTTAGTACTTAACAATAATAATCTAGAATACAAAAATGGACATCATCAGATTACTGAAACTATTGATTGTGTGTAATCTTAATAGTGTTCTAGGAAGTCCTGAAAGCAATTTCAGATTGATTAGTAGTAGGGACCTGCACTTAACAATCACAATCGGTGGGCACATATATGTTCGCATGATCATACCAGAACGTAACAAATTAGTTTGATCTAAACTATTTGGGGGTAGGGACTTGCACTTAACAATCACAATCGGTGCGCATATATATGTTCGCATAATCATACCAGAACGTAACAAATTAGTTTGATCTAAACTATTTGGGGACAAGTTTATTTTAACTTCCAATTTACTTCTTCTGAATGGTGATTATTTCTATATTATTTGGTGAAATCCTAAACGAGAGAAACAAAATTAATAGAAAACCAAATTGATAGTTTATATGTAGCCACGTATACGACTACAAAATAAATTATATTCGAGCTCACTTTTAGCAGAGCACCCCCAAATATCCCATCATGCAACAACAGTTTATTTTTTATAATTCCATTTATTAATGCAGATGCTTATACATAATTGGATCGGGATTATACGCCATCTACTATAGACACGGTCACATGCCGGTTCGGGCCGGTTCCGGGCCGGTTCAAACCGGTTCACGGTTCACATTTTCCGGAACCGGAACCGGCCCGTAGTATGGGTGGTTCAGTGGGCCGGTTCCGGGTCGGCCCGGAAATTTTGATTTTTTTTTTTTTTTTTGAAATATTTTATGAATAAGTAAATTAAAAGAAGTACTTTTAAATAGAAAAAGGAAAAAAAAAAAAATTGGAGGGTGGGGGGAAATAAAAAAAAAAAGTAAATAACGGCCGGTTCACTAGCCGTTATTTTTTTTTTATTTTTTTTATTTTTTTTTATTTTTTTAAATCCGGGTGAACCGCCGGGCCGACCGGGCCCGTCCCGGGTAGGACGGGCCGGTTCACGGGTCCGGGCCGGTTCACTCGGTCAACGGGCCGGTTTGGGCCGCCAACGGACCGGTTTGGGCCGGTTCCGAGCCCAAAACCGGCCCGTGGCCGTGTCTAATCTACTATATATGTACACTACCACAATAAATGCAGGTTCTTATACATAATTGGATCCGGGACTTACACATAATTGATATCCGGGACTTGTTCTTATACATAATTGGATCCGGGACTTGCACATAATTGATATCCGGGACTTTACATCATCTACTAATATATGTACACTACCACAATAAAATAAATGCAGATCCTTATACATAATTGGATTCGGGACTTTACGCCATCTACTATATATGTACACTACTATCAAATTGTGATTTAAACTAATAAAAAGATAAAATATGTACAAAAGATAAAATAAGTTTATTTCTTCGTTTATTCAGTTTTGATTACTTATTTATCAACAGTATCAAATTGTGATTTAAACTAATAAAAAGATAAAATAAATTGTGATTTAAACTAATAAAAAGATAAAATAATAGTAATAATGCTACACCCGATGAATTTTTATGGTTGAGTTATACATACCAATGTGTGCTTGTACTTATATGAATGGTAAAGATCTACCCAGTGTATTTTATCCAATACAGCATAGAATAAACCTTATAATTAGATTCCATACATAAAAAAGACCTACACAAAAGTTACTTGTAGTTTTTACTTACAAAACTCTACAAACTCAAAATCTCATTCCATTCCCACCTCATTATATTTAACTAGGCAAAAAAAAAAACACTAATGATATGTGCTTGGTACCATTCAACCATAGATCGAACCAAAATCCGACCCTCGTCCACGATTTAAACACTCGACGGAATTCTTGCTATAATATTGCTTCCCATAACTGGGATAGAAAGCCTCACACAGCTGATTATACCTCTCCAAATCGAAACTATGCAATTCCATAAGTTTCTTTTGCTTAACTCTGAACCTGCGCTGAAAATAGCCTTCGAAAGATGGCTCTTTCGAAGTCCTCAAAAAGAAGCCGTAGGCTAACGCAAAGTGAAGCGAGGTCACAAAGAAGCAAATGGGCTCCATCACATCCCAACTCAGCTCCCAAAAAGTTAGCCTCATGAAGCCCAATGTTTGAGCAATCATAAAGCCCAGCCCGCAGTAAAGTTCTGCTCGAACGATTGATCGGGCTTTTTTATCGATCAAGGCTTTTTCGTGTTCGAGATTATCCAATTCTTTTCTTCGTGGATCATTTGGCATGGCTATTGATTGAGAAATTAGTGTCTCCATTGATTTGGCCACCTGTAAATCAAAAATACAATTTTGATCAATTTGTATTCCACGAGTTAATATTATTATAATTATACATATGAGAATTAGTAATATTAATTATTTTAATAGTCTTGAATTTTTTTTTATGTTGTATGATTTAAGTGTTGCATCTAGTAGTACTAGTGCGGTGTAACGTTTTTGCCACTTTGGACATATGTGCATGGATAGCATGTCAAAAGTTTCACGTGATTTGCACCTGATTTTCTGATTTCAAGGAAAATTAAAATTAAAAATAAAATAAAATATTATTACACGCAATCATGCATGTCTGTAACACATTAAAACGTGTCTCCTTAATTTCTGGATTAATTAAAGAAAATTTGTCGAACAAAATGACAAAATTAACCTCTTCAGTTTCCGGTACAACAGGGAATTATTAATTTGATTTTTTTTAAAATAAAAATAAAAATATTTCTAAATTAAAGGAATATTGGAGGGAGGAAAATTAATTAATAAATTAAAATACCTGATCGGGGCGGAGGAAAACGACGCCACCTAAAACGATGACGTTTCCAGATTCATCCAGCGTCTTCGCAAACTCCGGCCCCATTTCTCTATCGCCGCACACGTCACCGCAGATCCGTACAAACTCGCCGTGCGGAATCGCACTCGCCGGAATATTCCTCAGCGTCTCTCGGATCTGCTCCATCCGCACGAACCTCAGCACTCTCTTCGCGTCCGCCGCAGCAACACGGAAACCTTCCTCCTCCGCCGCCGTCGGGCGCGGCGGGATCAACTCGTCGAGGTGGAGGCGATGGTCTCCGCCGGCGGAGACGTTCATTGACCTGATTTTCTCGCGGAGCTTCTCTCCGACGGGGAGCGTGAGGAAGGAGGGGAAGGCGTCGGCGGGAGAGGAATGGTCGTTGTTGATGGATCGACGCTGGAGGAAGCGGCGGAAGAAGCCGGCGGTGGCGGAGTCCGGGGAGGTGATGAACTCGCGGTGGTGGTTCGCTTTGGCTGCGTTGGGCCGCGCCGCCATGGACGGCGGCGGAGTTGTGATCGGAGATATTGAGTCTGGAGTTGTGGCGCTGAACAAGCGCTTGGAAAGTGTTCGGCGAATTGCCATGAGAGAGAGAGAGAGAGAGAGAGAGAGAGATAATTGAAGTGAGAGGGGCGAGAATCTCGGATGGTGAAATTGCAGTGAGAATAGAGGGGGCTATATATAGTGCTCCAAGGCTGGAGGAGGAGAGAGGGAAAGAGAATCTTTTTAGTATCTTCTGTTTAGTTGGGAGAATGAATAATCAATGTAAAATCTGCACGATGATTCATCATACTTGATCGAACGGCCAACAATGTTCGAGTAAAATTCATTTTGCACCCCTATACTATGTGAAATGTGTTATTTAACTTCTTAGTTCTTATATATAGAAAACATCAAATGCTCACCTATTTTTTGACGGTCAATGGTCAATCTTTTACGGTGTTAGATTTGAGTGTGCAATGACTCTTTTACCCCGCTTTATGTGATATGGAATCCTCTAGTTTCTTTTAGGTTGATTCACTTTTTATGATTGTAGATGATTTTTAGCGTTCGTTAAATTCCGGTTTTTTGTCGATTTTAATATTGTATTTAGGGGTTTTCAGTTTTCCTTTTTTGGGGGTTCTGCAATTATAATATGAAAAGCTTTGTTTTTAATTAGCAATTCTTTCAAATTAGGGTTTCATCTTGATTTTAGGGTTTCTTTTAGATGTTACGGATTTTCACTTTTCTTTTTTGTAGGTTTTTTTTGCATTCATAATCTGCAAAGTTTCTTTTTTATTGATTCGATTTTGTGTTTTTTTTATGCAGAAACGAAAGAAAAAAAGTTTGAAAATAGTTAAAAATGACTGAATAAAGTGAATAAAAAGATTGAAAATAGTGGAAATTTTGATGAAAAATGGCCAAGACTAAGTCTAGAGATTTTTTGATATTTTTGTCTTAAAAAAAGCAACAACTCTTTGCAACAGTCGATCGAAGGTTTGATAATGAAATCATTAAAATGTTAACGAAAAAAGAAAAGAAGAAGCACAGAGGTCGATCGTGCATCCGCGAGAAGAAAAGGAAAAAGAAAAGAATTGTGCAACGTGATTGGCCGGTAATGATGAAATGACGTCGTTTCAGAGTGAAAGTGGCAAAAAAAAAAGTGAAAATAAATAGGGGGGCGGGATTTAAGCTAGGGGGCGTACC